AGAAGTGCATATTCGCGGCTAGCGAAATACCACTTCTTGGGTGCATCGTGGGTAAACACGGCGTACGCCCTGATCTCGAAAAGATCAAGGCTATCACCAATTGGCCAGTGCCATTCGATGTCAAGGGGCTAAGGAAGTTCCTTGGGCTAGCGGCGTACTTGCACAAGTACTCGCGCAACTACGCCGAGATGAATGTTCATCTTTCTTGCTTGCTCAAGAAAAATGTCAAGTGGTCATGGAACGCTGAGTGCCAGCGTTTCTTTGAAGGTATCAAGCAAAGATTGATGCAATCGCCGATCTTGGCGATTGCAGATCAGGACAGACCATTTCATATGGTTTGTGACGCCAGCGATTTTGCAATCAGCTGTGCGTTAATGCAATTTGACGCAGATGGCGCGGAGCGCGTCATCTGTTATCAGTCGCGTCAGCTGCAAGCAGCTGAGCGCAATTACCCAGTGCATGACAAGGAACTCCTTGCCATGAAGTACGCACTGGCTAAGTTCCGGATCTATCTATTGGGAGATAGACCGTTCATCGTCGATACGGACCATGCGTCATTACGCACGGTCGCAAAAGCCCACACATCTCGCAAAGAATAGCGAGGTGGCTGTCTTTCTTCGCGGAGTATAACTTCTCCTTGGATTATAAACCAGGACGACTACTCGTCGTCGCGGATGCGCTCTCGCGCCGGCCCGATTTCGAGCCGGACGCACAACCAAACAGTAAGGATAAGCCCACTGTTGCGACACTGTCAGTCAGTGTTCCGTCGTCAAGCTTACTTGACGACGTACGAAAGGCATACGCAGAAGATAAGGATCTTATGCGATTGATGGATCATCTGGTGAAACCATCCAGTAAATCAATGAGGGATTTACCGGCTTTGTACCGATCCTCATCGGATCGGTATAGTACACGCAACGGATTGCTGTACTATACAGCTGTTGCCGACGACACGCCTCGTGTCGTCGTACCCGCTCATCATGACTTGCGTTTGCGCATCATGTATGAGTGTCACGATGCCCCAACAGGCGTCCATCGTGGTAGAGAAAAGACTTACCTCACGGTAAGTCGTGAATTTTACTGGCCCCGCCAGTACCTGTTTACACGCAAGTACATACGTGCTTGCGAGGTTTGCCAACGGGTGTGAAGCCTAGTCCTTCATCCCGTGCGCCATTACAGCCTCTGCCTGTTCCGACAGAGTGCTGGCTGTCCGTTTTAATGGATTTCGTCTTCGGTTTTCCCGAAGACGCTCACAAAAATAATGGTATTCTTGTGTTTGTTGACCGATTCAGCAAGATGGTCCATCTTGCTGCTGTACCCGAGTTGATCAAGGCTCAAGGTTGTGCTCGTGTTTTTCTCGACACGGTCTTTAGACTCCACGGGTAACCCCGTGAACTCGTATCCGACCGTTACTCTCGATTCACGGCGGAATTTTGGCAATCCGTGTTCCGTTCTCTCAAAACACGGTTGACGATGTCCACTTCTGACCATCCCAAAACAGATGGTCAGAAGGAATGTGCGAACCGTGTCCTCGAAGAGATCCTTCGAGGATATGTCCACTCGTTGTCGAGTTGGAGCGAATTCCTACCCACGGTGGAATTCGCCATCAATAATTCGGTGCATGCCTTAACACAGCACACACCGTTTTACGTGAATGGTTTACGCGATCCACGCGTGCCCGCCCTTCTAGAGTGTAACTCTTGGATAAGGGGGGAGGGACTCGTTCGAGCAAAAACCGTTTTGGCTCTTGCTCATCACGTGTCGACGCTAACGTCGTCACGTATGATGCCGATGTCGATCAGGTCGACATCGATGAAGCACACCACCGCAATAATAGCGACAACGCTATTATTGGATCGGATGATGATGACGATGCTGGTATATTCAGCATCGTCAACGATTATTCCAGCGAGGAAGAAGACAACCTCGCTGAAGAAGAGAGCAATCTCTTAGTAGTGCGCACGAAGCGCACTGAAAGACAAAACAAAGAGTCAGCAGAGAACTTCTTGCTGAATCGAGAAGCGGTAGTCCGTTTCGTTCAGGACTCCATCGCAAATGCGGTGGACCGCCAGAAACGGAACGCAGACAAGAATGGAAGAGCAAATGTTCTTTCATTTAGAGTTAACGACCTAGTACTACTGTCTACGGTAAACTTACCTGGACATGCAGTCACTAGTGTCGGCAGTAGTAAACTACTGCCGAAATACGTTGGGCCATTTCGAGTGTTGCATCGCAAGGGCAATGCATACACACTCGAATTGCCACGTAAGATGCGCACGCATACTACGTTTTACGTGGGGAGGCTTAGGTCGTACTGTCAGTACGAGCCTTCTTTTTTCGATGAAGATAGCCCCCACCTTCAAGAACATCCATCAAGTTCTCGCGTTCGCGCTCCAGACGATCCGTCTGGTCGCGCAGATATGATACCTCGGAACTCAAGCGAGATATCTCTCCGCGAGCTGTCGCCAGCTCGCCGTAAAGGGAGCGGACATCCCGCTCGACCTGAAGCTGCGCTGTGGCATAATCGGCGCGGTCTCTCGCCCAATCATCCTCGCGATCCTTGCGGTTCTTCCGCACGGTATCAGTCAAAGCGTAGCGCCGGTCGCGCTCGTGCTTCAAGTCATCGCGCAATTCATCGATTGTGCGATCCATCTCGTAAGGGTCGAGATGGTGAGCAGAATCATCTGGAGGAGGTCTTTCCTCCTCCACCACATCCTCTGGTGGATTCTCACGGTGGCCAACGATTTCTAGTGGAGCGTATCTTGAATCAACGTGACGATTCAGGATCAAGGACGAGCTACCTTGTCCAGTGGCGGGGGTATCCACCCTCTTGGAACAGCTGGGAGCCCCGCTCTCAGCTGTTGATGGATGTTGAAGGTCTCGTCCGCCAGTATGACGAGACTCATCCGATTGGCCCTATGGCCCATCTGTAAACACGCGCCCTAGGCGCCTGTAGACGGATTGCAAGTTAGCAATCGCGTCACGCATCTCAGCCGAGATGTGTGCCCTTCCCCAGGGCGAACTTAGGGAATACACGTCCCTATGTGCACGCTGCGAGTTGTAAACACAACTCGCACAAGGGTCTCCCCATGTGAGGCAAGGAATGTCTGCCTCACTCGACAAACAGTGCAACCGGTACCTTGCACCGGTTGGCGTTCGCTTTTCGAACCTGAGGCGTACCGCCTCAAGTTTCTTGAGCCACCCTTCTCGTCTAAAATTCTTTACGTTTTGGACGAACGCGTTCCACGCAGCCAAAAGCGATGCTTTGTCACGCTTTTGGTTGCTGTCGTACGATCGGTGTCTAAGAAAGACATCGGGATAAAAATCTTCTTTAGCGCGAAAGTTCTTCGCGCTGGAACTCAAGCCGTGAAGCTCAGTCGCATCGAATAAGGGTATTCAATGGTGTTGGCTTGTCTCGTGAGACAAGCCATTGATGAGCCGTTCGGGCAGACGCCACGGCTTCAGCTCATCACGCTTCAAAGTGGTACCCTTGTCGGTACCACGGTTGTCAGTATGACGATGGCTTGCACCATCGTCAAGTCGCTCGTGCGAAGGAGCACGAGTTGATCGCGGTGATGAGCAATCATACTCATCATCAGACTCATCATCACTTCCGAACAGACTGTGACGCATGTCACGAGTTCGTATGTCCGGCAGTGTCGTGGATGAATGAGGCACCGCAGGTGAACGCGATGCCTCCAAAGGCTTTTCCGAGTCAGACACGTCTGAATCGCCAGAGTAGATGACCTCAACGTCGGGGTCATCGTGCGCACGCGGTGTTGTACCGCGTGCACCTGCAGCACCTGTTCCTGCAGGCGGAGAACGAGCAGCAGACGACGAATCGTCTGCCGCAGAGGCTGGCACAGCAGCGGACTGTGCGTGTCTTGGGTCACCTCGCATAGACATGTTAACTATGCGAGGTCAAGCGGAAAGTGAATGGAACAGACCCAACAAGTGATCCCTGTCCCAATGGTGCCCAATGAGTGGCCGCCATATTTTTGATAGTCATACGGTGACTATCAGTTAAGAGGGGGGTGATGTAACGGGGCAGCCCGTTACATGGAAATTGTCATTTAGAAGATAATGACAATAAAGAATATTATGTTGAATATTCTTTTAACAACATCACCAATGGTGGTGATATTGATGGGTCTATCAAAGAGTCTACTCATTGGTTGATATCTTGACGATATCAACCCACCAATCGATGCAAGACGCGCGCAATGAGTGGTGAGTAGACGTCGTCATACATATATTTAGATTAGTATAATTAAGTGAGGTCAAACAGAGAGACAGTGGTTAAAAGACTTAATTATACAAATATAACAGTTCTGCTTTTACCTTATCTACGCTTCCTCGTTTGCCTCGTGTACGTCTGTCGGGGCAACAAAACCCTTGCGTTAAGTTCACGCAAGGGTGTGCCATGTTAGATTGAGGGCTTACACCGCCAAACAAGGGGGTTCATTTTTCTTCTCTCCAGCCGGGGCCATCGTGCACATTCTGCGATGAGGTACGACGCTCGGGCCATGTGCTGCCATCGAGTTCAACCGCTGATGCACGTCGTTGTGCAGGTGCTGTTCCAGTCCCGCTATGAGCGAACGGTTCGCACGAGCACACGTCCGCTGCGACGCTCGCGGGTCCACCTCGTCGTTCGCAGCCCTGTCCGCCATTTTGTTGTGTCCGCGGTAGTAGTGCGTCCAGATATAGATACCCAATACGGTCGCACACCACCTCGCCTATAAGTAGAGTGGTCGAAATCGGTGGTGGCGCGGCTATCGGTGCCGCCGCATCTGCTGAATGATCATGAGACTGTATCCTACCACATGCAGTGGAGTAAGTTGGTCAGCTTCAGATCGACGGAGACCATGATTGAGCCCCCAGAACTCCGTCGAGTTTTTGGTCGTGTCTACCCGAGCGTACGACATGCTCGCCGCCCAGATGATCTCCGCCGAGTGCGTATCCGTGTCGACGCGCACCATGACCGAATTATATCCACCTGGTCACGGGATGCCACGTGAGCCGCCGTCGGAGAAGAGCAGACGAAGGCTCTGACTGCTGATAGGCGGCGTCCTAATGAGATCCGCAGTTGGCTCCGTGAGGCGCGCAGCTAGGGCGCCCGTCACGGCCTTCTTTGGAGCATCTTCTTCGTCCGTGTCTAGCTTGTACTTTAGGGACACAAAGTCGCGCAACGCGTTGTCGACCTTGGCAATAACCACCGCCTACAGCGTAGACTGATCCGCTTCCAACTCGTGCCGAAACCGTAGTCGCGCGCACCAGATGGAGTGGATTGTCGTTGCCACCGTGAGCCGCCAGAGACCTCTGACAAATCGAACAAAACGTCGCGACGTTCATATCCGGCCGCAGCGAGACGTTCTTGGACTGCCTGCCACGCGCGTGTCGGCGTGTTGGGGATGTTCAGGCTGAAGCACGACTCCATGAGGCATTCCGTCACATTATCGCCGAGTCGCCACACATCGGGTCCTAAAGTCTGCCCACGACGCCTTTGATACCGGGCACTCCGAGAAGACGTGCTGGAGTGTAGCGAGCTCGTCGCGCCGACACGAGCTCTGCGGGCACGATCGATCACTGTGCACGTAGTTCCACAGATTGAGCTTGTTCGCCTTGATGCGATATAGCGTCTGCACCGTGGCGGCGTCCGATCCCGTCACTGTGCCAATGTCACTCCATTTAAGCTGCGCTGACGCACTTCGTAGGTCGCTGTTGCTGGCGGCCTGCACAGCGATCGCCCGGTAGCGCTCGTGATTTCCTTCCTTCGCGCGCTGCATCGCCGCCACCGCCTTGACCCTCGTCCGCTTAGGCCTCCATCCCTCGCCCATTTGCAGCTGCACGAGCCGCGACAGTGCCGGGTGGTCGTGTAACCGAAAGTCCCTGTTGCCGACGTCCGCTAGGGCACGTCGTTCGGAGTAGTAGCGCGACTCGACCCGATAACTGGGCATTAGAGCTTGGGGTACGAAAAGATGACGCCGTCTGCGCTGTCCGTTAGGCGCCACGAGCAGTGCATCGACGAGACTGCGCCGATTGGCCGCAGGTGCATCGTCGTGTGCGGTCGGAGTAGGAGCTCAGGTAAGTAGCAAACCATCGCCTTGCAAGGATCCGAAACCGCCCGCCGCAACACAGGGGTGCGGGACCGCCGCATTTCGGCCTTTATTACGCCGTTCCTTATCCACGTGAAGATGAGGAGGTCTCGAAGCGTGCACCACCTGTCGCCACGTCGCAGCAGCCTGATGTTCATAGGCTGCCTACTGCTGTCGATCGATCATTGCCGCATGTCGATTCCCACGCGGTCGTACCACTCAAGGCAGAACGGCCCACGCAAGCGTTGCCTCCCTCTCGACACATGCGTGAGTAAGCGCATTGCATCACTCTCAACGTCGACCTTCACGCAGTCTCCATCCCATTTCGCAGCGTACAGTTGCCACCGGAGCAGCGACGCTGTTGCGGCCACATAGCCGGCATCCGTTGATTCGATCGGGTCGCTGTGCTCTCCGAACATTACTTCACCCCGCTCTTCCACATGGTGTCCGCCACCGTGAAGCCCCCACATACGCGTCCCGCAGCTCCAGAGTCAGGTACAAATTGACTCCCGCTCGCTCTACCAGTAGGATGTCACCCGCGATCCGCGCCGGACAGTTCACGCCTGCAGCCCACCTGCCGACTGCAGTGGCAGCTATCGCGAGAAAGTCTGTGGCGATGTGCGGCACAGCGAGCCCCCCCTTCGCACACGCAAAGCACCGCCTGCGCGTCTCTCACCCATGCGAGGGTTGGCACGACTTCTCTCGGGCCCCAGACAAAACGCTTGATCAGCTTCTGCAGCGGAGACAAGATCTCAAAAGTCGGCTAAGAGTGTCATGCGAGTAACGTGACCTTGGAGATGACGATTGCTGCCTCCAGAGCGTCTCAGCTCCGGACCGTGTTCGTCTTCCTTCGGGCCAGCGCTATCCGCGTGTTCAGCGCAAAAAAGACACGCGTCCCAGTTGTCCTTGACCGTCCTCCTCTCTACAACGATCACGCCCAGATAAACGGCACCGCTCGCCAGCTTGCAGCAGTCGAATGCCGTGCAGCAGCTCCGGATCGATAAATGACCCATCACAATGCGGCACAGCCAAAGAATTTGGGGTATTGGTCTTCAGCCCAGAAGTCTCGCCAAACCGCAACAGAGCCTGCATGACCTCGACAACGTCCTCTAAGGACCGGACGTAGACAGCCGTATCATCGGCGTACCCGCAGACCTTGGCCGCCATCGCTGCCGACTTGTTAGCGATCTGTACACCCGTCGAGCGATATCGAGCCGCTCAAAGAGCGGCTACACCGCCAAGATGAACAGCAAAGGTACCAACAGGTATCCTGTCGGATGCCACACATGACGTCCAGCAGATAGGGTACGTAGCCGCTCACGATAAATCGGCTCCTCGTGCAGTTGTGCAGTGCTGCGACGATGCGCACGAACGCTTCCGGGAAATCGAGTCGTCGCAGCGCGGCGAGCAGGAAGTTAAGCGACAGCAAGTCGTATGTCTTTAAGACGTCCAGGAGAAGCACAAGCGCGCGTCGCAGATCAAAGTCGTCTCTGGCACAAATCTTCGCGGCAGCAAATATGTCAACGACCGTCGCCATCTCGCGGCGTGGTACGAAGCCGGTCTGCAACAGATGCACGAGCGTTGGAAGCATCGGCCGGAGTCGTGAGGCAAACACTCGCGTGAAGATAGTGTAGTCCAAGTTCAGGAGGGAAATCGGTCGATAGTAGAGCGTGCGCTTCGCTCTCTTCGGCTTCGTGATACACGATAACACCACCTCATCGAATGTGATCGTCAGGAAGACGCCGAGTGAGCACACGATAAACAGCCGCACCAGCAGAGGGACAATATTGTTTTTGTTTTCGCGATACCAATCGTTGCCGAGCTCTTCCAGGACCCATGCTATCCGCGCTTGCACCGCCTGGCTGACTTCAGCACCTCAGCATCTGACACCTCGATGCAAAGCGCCGCCATGTTATCGCCAGGCTCTCTCATTGGGAGAGAGCTGAGGAAGTCAGTGACAGTGTCACTCTCCAACGGCACCTGCTGCATGACGCCTTGCCAGCCGTCACAAATGTCCTCCGCGAGCTTCCGCGACAGTCATCTTCCTTGTCCCGCAGTGCCCTAGAGGTTGTACACCTTGTTGCCACGAACTTCATCGAGACTCGCCGGTAGAGGAGCCGATGCGACCGCGCCGGATGATGCTCATGTGATCGTAAAAGTGCTTGCCCCTACTTCTGTTGCCACTCGGCTTTGTACTCCGCGACTATTATATTATTGAGATATTTTTTTTTAATGTAAACTTTTATGTGTACTAAATTAATTTTATAACGTACTGGATAAGATAATATTTTATCTACCATGCCGAGCCTTTAGCACATAGCTGGTTAGTCAGTCCTCCGCATTGGTCCCAGAGCGTAGGGCGCCTTCCAGGCTGTCGGTCAGGGCTTGAGGCTCTGGCGGTTGCCGATTGTTGCTCTCCGTCGCGCTTTCTGGGCCGCCGTCACGCACTTCTTCCGCAGCTCGCTCTTCGCATTGATCTACCACCCCGCAGCAGCACGTGCTTTGTCCACCGCTATGCTCGCCGCCGTGATAACGTCTTCCAGGTGCGCCGACGCGCCTGCGAAGAAGTCCGTCGTCACAGCCTCGGAAGTTCTTTCAGCGTTATTCGCCGGCGAGTACACTTGCCGCCTCGTCTTCACTTGTACCGACCGAATGGGTACCGCGACACGTATCGCGACGCCGTTGTGGTCAGAGAACGGCCCCGAAATTGACAAGCCTACCGCTCGCACCCCGTATCCGTAATTGAACGAGGATAACCACCTGCCCAGACGGCAGCTCGCCTCTTGTCCTCCCGACATATTGTAGAAGTACGTGTGGTGCTTTAAACGCTAGTCGATCTCCGTGTCGTTGGCCTCTAGGTCGTCGTCCAGAAATATAATCAGAGCACTGCATTGCAGCAGTTGACAAAGAGCGAACGAGTCGTGATTATTCCTCCGCGACTTAAACGACCGATCTGGAGTCTCGAGGAGCGTGCAGTTAAAGTCGCCGCATAGAAACACTGGGCCGCCAGCACTGGTAACCACTTCTTCCAGCGAGCTAAACAGTTTCGCCCGCTTCGACACTTGTACCGGCGCGTACACGTTGATGATCGTGAACTCGCGGTCGTCAAAATCGTCGATGCCGCCGATTCGTCCTTCGCTCGGGCTTCAGAGCGAGAACCGCCGCTCACCATCGCCCACGAAGCCCCACGACCGGAGATGCCGCTCTGCAGCGCCGGCTGTTGCACACGCAGTCACCCGCGTCTCTTGCAGGCATGTGATGTCCAGCAGGCCGTCTTGTGTCTGCTGAAGAAAGTGCGAGAACCAGCGGCTCTGTAGTTCCGGTTTGGCATCCAACCTCATCAAGTTTTGAGTGAAAGGTCCACACGTCACGTCATGTGCCGACCTTAGACTGCCTCTTGTGCGCAGTCCTCGAACGCGCTGTGAGCGCGCTCGTGATGTTGATTCGAAGCCCTTTGTAACGACGTGCGACGCCGGCGTGCCAGACCTCTCAGATGACAAGCACTTCGATTAGCGCCTCGTTCAGGAGCACAAAGTAAGCGACACGCCTCATCTCGTCGTCGTCGTCGTAGACCCGAGCGCTCGTGTCGGGAAAGACAAGACCACAGTCCGGCAACTTTGGGAAGCGACTGGGGCAAAGCAGACTCCGCAGGTAGAGCACCGCGCTGAGCTTGTCGTCGAGGGCTAGTTCCGTGATTTCAGTGCTCAGGTCGTTGTCAAACTATTCCACCTTGCGCAACCACGCTGTTGCGTTCGTCTGGTTCCATCGGTTGGTGCCGAGGGATAGAGATCGAACCTCCGTCTCTTGCTTTCGGCACAGCGCGCGCAGCGGCCTGGCCAAGCCAGGCTCTTGTCAGTGGATAGATGCTCGATCAGCGCAAGCTAAGCGTTGCTACACAGTGTTCGACCGAAGGTCATCCACTCCGTTTTAATCCACTCAGTCTTACTCCACGTGTGCAGATCCACGAGAGGGTGCGGGATGAAGGTATTCACGATCACCAGGCTGTCGAATTGGTGCTCAATCCAGCTCGGGAAGTTTTCGCCTCCAGTCGGCCGGGCTGCGCCTTCGACGTCTGACTCCGACACTTTGCGGACGCGATGCCTTTTCCGTCTTGCGGCGGTTGCTCTCGTCAATCTTGTCCTTCGTCAGCCGCGCGTGAGCAGCCTTCGGCTGCATCAGCTGAGCGACGTTGATCTCCGGCCTGGTCGTCTCTTGGTGCGAGCGTACTGTTCGCTGCTTGGTCGTCGCGCGGTATTTGCGCCGGCGTGTCGCAGCAAGCGTAGCTGCGTGGTCGTCGACCCCCCGTCTAGCCGCCGCTACCGCGTTCCACTCGCAGACTTCATCTCTCGATGGGTTGAAGGGCCGCGGGATGCTTTCGGCATCTGCTGGCTGTTAGGGCTGCGTAGCCGTGCGCCTTGACTGCGCATCAGCTTCTTGGGCCGCAAGGACTGATGCCGTTCCGGGAGGAAGATGAGAAGCGAGGTGGTCCGAGTTGCCGCTCACGTCCGAGTCTTATCTGTCGGTCGAGGGTCTCTCGCTGTCGTTCGAGCGCAAATAAGAGACCGCTATGGACACCTCAAGCTCATCGACCGCCATTGTGGCTGCTAGCAACTCCCTCGCCTCGTCTGCGGCCGCGTTGGCCGCGGCCGCCTCCTGAGCAAGTGCTGCTTCTGTTGCCGCCGCATGTGCAGTAGCCGACTCGACTTCCTGCTGCTGAGTCTCAGTCGTCGCTAATGGCGCTGTCGTCGGCTTACTAGCTGCTGCCGCAACCACGTACCGAGCCACTGTCTTTGCCGCAGCCTCCGCGCCCTTAGCCATCTGATCTGCCACAGCTTGCGCTGCCTCATCTTGAGCTGCAGCCGTCTTGGCTGCTGCCATATTCTTTGTCGTCTCATTTGTCTTCTAGCGACAGATCACGTTCAGCTCAGCCGTCACCGCTGCCTTGGTTTTCACTCGCGCGTCAACTTTGCGCTTGTAAAATCCGCTTTTGCGCCATGCAGATGCCGACCGCCCTGCTGCCTCTTGGCGCAGGCTGTCCTTGAGCCCTGGCGCCACTTTTGAGAAATATGTCGGCTGCCTTAGTCCAGCCTTCCGCATGAGGGCGTAGAGTATCACGGCACGTCGCCGCAGCTGTCGCTGTCACCGTGAAGTTTGCTGAAGCCTTCTCCGGGTCGGCCGTCGCGCAGTCTTTTCGGAAGTGACTGACACAGAAGCAGCGCTGGTACGGTTCGCGATTGCTCTTCCGCAGGTGCAGCATCGAAGTCTCGATCGCCATTTAATCTGTAGTAATGCGGAGCACGTGCTTCCGATCGAGCTCTTTGGGACACTCCATGGAGTCAAAGGTGACTACCCATCGATGCGCGCTGAAGACTTTCGCAGTGGTCGCTTCGTGCGACTCGATCGCGAGCACAGCCGTCGACGACGCGGCTACGATCCAGGCTCGGATCTCTGCCAAGAAAAATGTACCTTTGCCGTGCACGTGCTCCTGGTAGAGAATCAAGACCGTGTCGTCTGTGTAGCCGGTCTTCTAGTCCACCGTGCTTGGGGCATCTGCCACGAGTAGCTGGAGTCGGAAGGAGACCACTCGGAGGTCGGCCGTCGCCCGTGCGTCTCTGGCGGCACGATGTTTGAACGTGAATGCCACGATCGGCGAGAGTCTCGAGCACCCTGCGCGCGACAAGGCCAAAAAGAGCGCTTTCACTCGCTCCGTCATATCCGTAGCGGCCGCTGCTGCAAACATCCGGCTGTACAGTTTCGCGCGCGCATCGAACTCAGGGAGAATGAGTCCGACAAACAGTCGTGCGAAGAGCTTGTGAACGAGACGAGTACGCTGGTGGACCGCAAAAAGTTCCCGTTTCGCTGCCGCGTTAATATAATGAAGAATCCAGGCGCCTTGCTAATCTGGATATTGCTTCATAGCCATGATTTTAGAGTCTCAGCCTCGATCGCCGTCATCGGTCGCTGAAAGTCATACTTCCAAAAATGGCATTGTTGTTGCGCGCATTTGTACAGTCGGCGGATGTCGTCCTTAATGACTGTCGGGGATTAAGCACCCTTCGCCTTCTTTAGCGCGCTGATCGTGTTTCCCTTCCACGCGTCAGTACGCCGGTCCTGCTTTCGCGCGTTCTTCGAGATGCCCTGCTCTAAGATCGAGCAAGAAGGGACCACATAACCTTCTCCTGATGCCATCTGCAGTGGAGCCTCGTCTTGGGGGGGGTCGCCTGTGGCATGTCGCTCGGAGCTTCTACCATCTCAACTTCCTCCTTCGGAGCATGTCCGGTGCCGGCCTGGTCGCCATCGGAACCGACCTGCCCGCCTACAGTTAAAGAGTCACGAAGAAAGATCGCAGTCGCCACCGCGCCTTTTACCACGATTCCTCGTCTTCCTGTTCAGCTTCGTGTGCTCTCAACACCTAGCGCCCCGCCTCCTTGTCCATGTGGGCGGCGATAATGATTTTCCCAATTGCGTGCTTCTGCAATGCAGGAAATACCGACGTGATAGGTCGAAGTCCTTCTCGCCCTCTCAGTTTTCAGCCAATCACTTCTCGAATCTGCCCCTTTTGCTCTTCAGCCGGAAAATTTCGAGAGCGTTGCCATCATGATGTGCGTCGTCCATCCGGCCTTTTGTTGTCATAATTATCAATATTCTGCGCGGTACTCTCTCACCTACTCGATCGATATATTGGCAAAGAGATACATATGTAGTCACACAGTGTCGTCAACAAAAGTCTATGCTGTATGATTCGACATGGCGCAAGTGAAGCAGCGTGGACTACGGCAAATCTATCGTACGTTCGCAACAATGCTATCTGACTACTGCAATGTATTCGGTGAGGACGATTTAGACAGCATGAAGTAGGACGCGTGAGCGTAGATGGCTCCACAATACATTATGGCGGAAAGAGAGCGCCGCGCTGATAGGCTCCTTGCGAGCTGGACCGAACGATGTAGCGGAAAGATGCTGGCTTACATGGTCGTCTCCATGTAAATTCACAGCTCGCGAGTGTATATAGTCTATCTCGGATCATGTTTATTCATTTGAAATGGACGCTGCGCTCGCCAACAGCGTCGACGAACACTCAACTTTGAGATACAGCTCTTGTACGAGAATCATAGCAGAGGCGCTGCTTCGAGTACGACCGACGATCTGCTGTACCAACAATCTGACACACGCAGTCTACGTCGAAGACCGTGCGTGGCACCGAAGCGCACTTTTGGGCCTGTGCGAGTGGATGCGAGGATCGCTGCCACAAACGATAGACGCTTCGTCATTAAGGTACGACATCCACAGTTTAGTGTTCCTTGCTGTAACAAACGTCGGAAGCTCGTAGTTCCTTCGTACTTTATAATAACTTCATGGAAAGAACAAGGCTTGACAAATATTTATCGTGTGCAGCGTAGTGCGGACCAACGAAGTAGGATGACAGGGTAATTAGGATGAGAGAAACTCGAGCTGTTATTTCTCACGGTTGTGACCATACTTTTCAATAGCAACAAGAACTAATGGTCCTCCAATGTCAACTCAGTGGTTTCCCAAACAATGGGCCTTTCGATAGAATCCGTTACTAATGTCCGCAGGTTTCGGAAATGCATAATGAAAAGTCATCAAAATACGACCAGCAAGATGACAATGAGACAGGCAGAGAGCGAATTTGACGAAAAACAAGGAACAAGTGCATATTAAGCTAATTAGATATTGTTATCACTGGACGTCCAGCAGAATCAAAAGCCCGAGTTGAAGAGGTGGCTTCAATGAACTTGTGGGTGTCTGGTAATTAAAGTCGCGCGTTTGGAACCCG